GAATCTGACAAGGTTTAGCCTCGCAAGTTTCGTTAACGCATCTGTCACAAACGCGATTGAGCCAGTGTTGCATCTCCAGGCGTAAAACGCCGTCCACGGGGAGGCGGAGGGAGACCGCCTATCAAAAATTTTGCTCGTCCTGGGTATTCCACGTGCCTCATTTTTTACTCCCGGGGATTTTTCGACGCTGATTGAAATTTCAGTGAGGACAAAATTCTCCCACTCACGCTGTCGACCCTGGAGCTTCAAAATTCGCTCCATCCAAATTGCCCCCTGATTCTTTTGCACGTAAACTTCACGATGTTTTCGTCGCCGTACTACGCCGTCAACGTCCTTACGAACATCGCTTCACCACATCAGGAAGCCGCGCCGAGTTTACGTCAAATACGTTTTCGTCACTTCATCGCATCAGGAGGATACGCTGAGTTTTCGTCAGATACATTCCGTCACTTTATATGATACTCATGTGTTTGTTCGTTATTGTGTTTGTTGCTTTAACACAGCTCATTGTATTGAGAAAAGTCTGGCCCTGCGTCATCGAGGGATAACCCCTGGCCATCCTGCAAACGTGTGTCGTTCCAGGAGCGCACGTCGACCTAAGCCCCTCAGGTAGACTTCGATTGCTAACGGGTGTGTTTATTCTAGGTAATGGACGCTCTTAGCTCCTTTAGCGAAAGGCGGATTCGTCGTCGCCGCCCCAATGTCGTGACGCCCACACGACTTCTTCATCGCAGCCTTACGTGCCGTGATCTCGAGTGATCTCCACACGCACGCGCCTCCATCAAGGAAGGATTATCGACAAACTTACACTGCCTATTCGACGCTGCGTAGGATGGAAAATTTTTGGGCCTGGCCGATCTTGGTTGTTGCGGCTACCTTTTTTCTCGTTTCGTCTTTTCCCAGACCAAATTCGGTTCACACTTGTGTGTAGGAGTAACCTGATGTCCTGATTACGAGACATTAGTGTTGAAATTAGCTGTGCCTAATGCATACTGTCTGCTCTTTTGGGGTTTGGGGTGTCATTCATACTGTCTAGAATTTAGTATTGGGGAAGGGGTTCTCCGAGCTGGGTAAATACGCATCGTGTAGGCGAAAGAAGAGTGGAGAACATATGGTGAGTGACTCACTCACTTTTTCCCAAAGGCTCAGTCCTGATCGAGATCTAATCAGTGAGAGGGCGCAGACGAGCACAAAATGGCGCCAAATGGCACCAGCATCAAAAATGAATGTCATATTCGTAATCAGGGCATCGAATTACCCTATAGGCAAAGTTTCGACGAAAAATAAAATTTGAGATTTTGGGGCAGTAATAGAATAGTACAGATCACAATGTTAAAAATCTTTTTTTTTCTAATAAAAAGTTCTTTTTAGGGACTTTTTGGTGTTCTACCGATGGTCATGTATTGTAATTGCAGCCATGATGTATGTGGTAGTGGTAATTCTGCTGCGTAAGGTAATGTTTTACCTAGAACACTCAGCCAATCATCCTTCTGTAGTCACTCCATTCCAGAGGTTTATCAAGACATCAAGGGCTTTCGTTCCATCAATGAGCAAAATGCAGAGCAACAAAATCATGCGTAGCAATGTTACAATGGGTAAGTATCACCACCCGATTGACGTCGATGTGAAGCCACAGGGTGCCGCGTGTGGCATCCCTCTGTTACCGCACTTGTTACCCACATTTACCACGAATCGCGAAACTTTCCACCAGAAGCGCGATAGAGCAACTTTCACCTCAAGCTTCTAAATTCTCTTTTTGAGTGTTCAGGGGTGCTCGCCAAGTCCCTAGCAATAGGCTGAATGGAATCCGGAGAAAATTTAAATGTTACCTTGCTGCTGTTCGATTACAACAACTCCTCCTCAATCGGATAATAAACACAGAACATAAATCAGTATTAAGGTATGACAACGATCAGTGCAGTTCTACTGCTCCTGATTCCGGATGTTATGATTTATTTCAATTGGCCCATCAGTGATAGTTCAGGAAAGCTATTTCTATATTTGCTGATGTTGAACAAGGTGAATTCAAAGTGCTGGAATTATATTCATTTTCTACGAAGTTGCGTGACACTAGGAACCGTAGGAACACAGTGCATGGTGTTAAGCAGCTTCCGTAATAAGCTTATTCTTATTTGAATGTTGAAGGAAGTGTCACGGGAATTCCTATGGAGACGACAGGGAAAGTGACATAGTGGTTCGGGTAGTGGGTTTACCAAATGAGAAACGGCGTGATAAGGGCGCCGGAACACTTCGGTTCGGGTTGCACCCAGGGTCAACCGTCCGTTCGAACTGTTCGAACGAAGGGGTCGCATTTTGGTCGGAAGGGGGTCGCAATTTCGAGGACTGCCAGCCACAGGCGCGTGCGTGGCGTATCCGAGGGCAAGAATTGTTTGTGCAGACCGCATTAGATTCGATTAATTATGCACAGAGAGACAGTTTTGGGCAAATTACGGTGTTTTCCTACGCAGTGAAGAAGTGTTGAATGCATCTTTAAGAAAGGTTTGACTTCTCAGGGCTGAAATGAAGTGTCTTTCAAAACTCATTTTTGGGGCGCTTCTCCTAGGGAAATAATATACATGAGTAAGCGTAAATCTCGTAGTCTTCAAAAATATCTTCTTCCCAACAAGCTTTTTGAGGGAAGTTATTATTGCTGAAAGCTCAAAAACTCGCATGTGCTGCTCAAAAACCTATGGGAACAAAATGTTCGAACGTGTGATTTTCTCGGAAAATGGATTTTGAAAAACAGTTTGGGTGATTGTTCAAAAGAGCAAATCCTGTACTTTCACCCCATGAAAAAAGTGCATCACAGAAATGAAAATGAAGTGAGTTATGCCCGCTTAAAGCCCAAAAACTCGCGATTTCAAAAAAAGTGTTCGGCAAAACCCCCCAAAATGTTCGAACGTGTGATTTTCTCGAAAAATGATTTTTGAAAAACGGTTCGGTGCTTGTTAGAAAGAGCAAATCCTGGCTTTCAAAAGGGGACAATCACTAACTTTTTTACTATTTTGTTAGAGAAATATTTGAAGTTTCTGAAACTTTTTACAGATTTCCAAAAATGTCGCATACGAAAGATTTTATGGGCCTTCAAAGTTGAAGGTGCGCCTTCTTAGAATTTTGGGTTTTCCACTTCTAACAGAAGTACTTTCCGGAGAGTTAGGCAATCCTTGTAGTTTTCTGGAAGCGCACCTCAGGCACAATCAAAATCTACCTCAACAAGTCAAAAAAATACGTCCCAAGAAAGTTATTCCCCTCTAAAATTTTTCTTCGCCGCGTCCCGTTCTTCCAGCGCCCGGGTGATACCTGCCGCGCTCCAAGGCCGACGCGAGAGCACAGACGCTTTCTGGCGCAACGGATTCATGTCTAGCACTCTTATTAACAAAAAGGGGGGTGCAACTGGACCTCCTCGAGAGCTAGGGGTCGAGAAATCCGAAATGTGCGACGGGAGGTGACCTTGGTGGCACCCCCCTATCAGCGTGGAAGGGATCAATAGCAGCGTGCTCATAGTGAGGTGTATTTTGCTAGTCGTTCTTCCTGCTGGAGTGCATACATCTAAGGCGTGTTTCTTTCCAATCATATGTATCTCATTAGGGATGCTCTCACAGTACTATGCTCGACGTTGGCGTAGACACGCGGAGTTTATGATCACGTGGAGACAGCGTGATCGCTTTCTTCAAGGCGCAAATGGTGACCCATAGAAGATAAGGTCCAAGAAACAAGAGAGTGGCGAAATGTGGAAAACGGATCCGCTGGAAGTGTTGATATGGGGGCGGTAACCACACACACGTTGGTTGCGTTCACGCGTTGTTCTAATTTTCGTGATAATCGTCGGGAAGAACGCTAAGCATGTTCGGAGAAGACGCAGGTATTTTGAAATAGCATACATTTAAAGGAATCTTCGCGGAAAATTCTTGCATTCTTTCTTGACATGAATGTGTCAGTTGTGATCACTGGAAACAGCACACAAAGTTTCACGCATGAAGATTCGGTTTCCGAAGAGAAACAAACGTACAAAAACTACACTCTATGGACAATCGAAGGTAATTCGGGCGGAGCCAAAGGCGAGGCATGGAAAGAAGTTGGCCTTTGGCCGGCTACGTATCAGGTGAAAGAATCGGGTTAAAGCGCGCGATTTCGGAGAGTAGAGACAAATCGATCGATAGAATAGGATGGAGTAGAAGTGTAAGATGTGAATGCAATAAAGCAGAAGGCCAGAAAGAGTTTCTAGTGAAGGCACTCCAAGAACCAAGTGGAAGCATCCCCGTCGCCAGCATTTGTGAAAGACGTCCGTGGGCACTTTGAACGCGTAGCAGCCCTTTCGATTTTTCGAATTTTCTTACCAAAACAAATGATTTTCCGTGAAGGATTTCTTCAGTAAGAGGGGGGGGGGAGTGGAAGACTTGTCGCCCTATCTAATAGTTGCAGAAACAAACTTTGCACACCATTAGTATTTGGGTCACTGCAACATGACCATGACCTAGCAACACTCCATATTCTTTGAGTTTTTTCCGCTTGTTGAACTCTGTACCGAAGCATTCAAAGCCTTATACAGGTCTGGTATCACCCAATTGGATTGATTCGCCTGAGAGTTCGGTCATGTTGATCAACAATCCATTGCCCAAATGATTGTGCATGTAGAATAAATACGCAATCCTGTCTAGATGTCGAATGCCACACATTTGCATGTAATATAGCCTCCGTTACGCTTCCATATTTATGTCGTAGTTGGCAAAATTCTGCATTTCTTCCAGTCACTGATCAACTTTCTCATATTCTTCGTGCGGCATCGTGAACTACGAGGGATCTTTGTCGCCACAGGATCGAGCGTTAATGCAGCCTCATGCATAGCATATCACGAACCTTTGTAGTTAATTATATTTATGGAGCTGATCTCTGAAGAATCTACATGTTCACAAACTACTTTATTTCATGAGAAAAACTTCCGCTCATATTGAGCGGGGTGACTGTTTTATTAAAGTTTGCTAACCGATAAAGATCAATTAATATTGCGGTTGGAAAATAGGTGATTCTCCAAATCAAAATTAAATGTAAATCGCTTAGTCATTCATCAGACGGTCAGTCACTCAGTGACCTAGCTGCCTTGACTTGTCAAATGGCAAACAAAAAGCTAGGCAGAGGTTGTGAACGCTCCCCTTGGGTCTGTAGTATAGACCCTAAAGGACAATCACAAATGTGGCGTTCCGTGCACGGAAACCAACCGACAAGAGCGCTTGGGCCTTGCAAAGTAAGCTGCTGAAGCTGCAGATTTTTTTCTCTTATCAGGCGCTCTCTCATCTGTAGCGCTCTCTCGCCTCATACTCTCCTCTCCGCTTTTAGTCTCTCATTCCCTTAGCACAGAAGGAAGGTGAGTGAGCCCTCAACCTAAGCGTTTTTGACGCTTTCCTTTTTTCTTTACTGCCGGCCCATTTCGCACCAATACATTCGCATTCGTGTGCAAGAGCCACACCAATGTGATCCTGGGGCATGCCTTTACTGAGCTTGTCAGCCGAAAAGCGAAAAACCAAACCACTTCAACTAATTTTTTTACACCACCCTTCGGCTACAATTACTACAGCTTATGGACACTGTTAATGAAAGTGGCAGAGCCCAATGTTCAA